AATAATCGATTTTTACAATATAAATAATCGATTAAATGGTACTGACTTCGAACCACTGATCTGAATAAAATTCTAATCGATTTTTAGTAAGTAAATAATCGATTTTCGACCACTGTTCATCGTCTTCTTCCTCGAGTCAGTTTTAACATTATCATTTTTTAATCACCAAACTTCAATTTAATTATATAAAAATGTTCTCCAATGTTCACAGATCATTTTAGAGTCATTAATTCGTAATTTTAACAACAATTTCATGGTTTATGATTCTTGGTTCTTCAAACATGTCAAACACAAAACTCAACCAAACGACCGTTTATGAACGTAGAAACGATCTATATGAACATTCTAGTCACTAGATATATCTACGGGCTTACCTCGAAGTGTAATGGAGGTTTTGAAGATTTCCCGGCAAAACTTCCGGCGAGCACCACGTTTTGCTCCGGCGAACTCGACGACAACTAATACTATGAGATTACTCCCCTCACTCACAGGATTCTATTGAACTAAATTGTAGAAATAATGGTGTAGAAAATGGGAAATGAGCTCTCCCTTATATAGGGGTTGAAGAGGGGAAGAAGACAGGTTGCATCGTCATTTCCATGATCCTGTGATCGGCTAGTGCGCTGGGAGGCGCCGTTCGCAGAGTGTCCCTGATTCGGACCAATTTTGGTTCCAATCGGGATACACTTTTTGCTCCAACTTTCTCCGAATTGAAATCCGATTGAATCGTTGGGGTCAGACAGTCAAACTCTACATAATGATATAATTTTCATATTTATTTGTAATACTTTTTCTGACATCATATTTTTGGGTGGTTGACTTTGACAGAGTCAAAATTCATTTAATTGACCTTTGTTCAATAAAATTCATATATTTAATTCATGTTATTTATTTTCATAATTTATTTCAATAAATCATTTCAAAGTTCACATTATAAACAAATCCCTAATTTGGGTCTATACTCTGGTTCCCCAAATTAAGATCATACAGTAAGTCAACATATTGGATTTATCTCTATGAGATTTATCCAGATTGTGATATTGGATATCAATATATGTATTATTTTGGCCCAAAGCCCAACAACAATTTATTTTAGTCGAAACAAATTTGATTAATTGAATAATTATTCATTCATAATTCTAGGGTATATTTTGGGGCGTTACAATATGTCCTACCCTATTGCAATAATGGCATACTACGTTTGGGTTGAACATATGCCTAGGTTGGTAATAGCTAGGGGGTCTAACCATATTCATTCTACTTTGAGAAAATATTGGTTTTTGGGTATTTTGAAAATTCTCTCTTCTAGGCGTTCTAGCGTTATTTTGTCTATTTGAAAAATTATTTTTGTGCGTAAATTCATTTTGATAATTCCTCCTAGGTTGCCTAGAATGCTCGTGTTCATAACTAACCTTTTGTCTAGGTTGTCTATTATTTTTATTTTTATCTTCCTTAGGTTGAGCTCTAGGTGGTTTACTGTAACACCCCGAAATTAGGCCTATCAGAATTAATTAATTGATAATTAATTAATTACTGAGAAGGACCCAAAAATAAGTGATTTATAAATTTTGTCAATAAATAATGAAAATTATATCATTATGTAGAGTTTGACTGTCTGACCCCAACGGTTCAATCAGATTTCAATTTGGAGAAAGTTGGACCAAAAAGTGTACCCCAACTGGGACCAAAATTAGTCCCAATCAGGGACTACACACCAAAAGGCGCCCTGTTCAATTACGCCGATTCCAAATTCGTCGCTCAATCACGGAAGCTGCAAACCTGTGTCTTCTTCTTCTTCCCTGGGCTATTTAAGGACAACCCAACTCCCTCTTTTCATCACCAAAACAACTCATTCTTCTTTCTATATTGTTCCTTGCTGAGAGTAGAGTGCAGTGGTGCTGTCATCTTTGTGTGAGGTCGCCGGAGAAGTGAGATAGAGTCGCCGGAAGTTTCACCGGAAAATCTTCAAAACCTCCCTTACACTTCAAGGTAAGCCCGTAGAGATATCTAATGACTAGAATGTTCATATAGATCGTTTCTACGTTCATAAATGGTCATTTGGTTGAGTTTTGTGTTTGACATGTTTGAAGAACCAAGAATCATAAACCTTGAATTTGATGTTAAAAATATGTTTTAATAATTCTAATATGATCTATGAACCTTGGAGAACATCTCTATATAGTTTAATTGAAGTTCGGTGACTAAAAATGGTTTTCCGGAATAATGGACCGAGGTTGAAGACAAATGAACAGTGGCTGAAAATCCACAGAGTGGATCGATCATCTTCATTGGATCGATCCTCTGGGAGTTTTCTTCCAGTTCGATCGATCCTCCGAAACTCTGACCCAAAAATTTATCCAAAAATGCTATTTTAGAGCTCTAAAATCCTATTTTTGATACCAATTGCTTATGATTATTATAAAAATGATTTTTCATATTAAAAATGATGTTTTTAACAAATTAAAACATTATGTGATGCATGACGGTAAGTTCGGGTGTTAATACTCGAGACTAGGCCGCTATTTGTTATTAAACATCTTGTTGAATGATCATTATGATGAATAAATGTTATGAATGATTATGAATGATAAACCTACTGATTAGAATGATTATTGATGACTTAATCATGATTAAAAATGGACATATTGATAATCATAACGAGAATGTATTGTTAAGGGTATCTAGAATAACTCTAAGATATACCCATAATGAAATTGATGTTGAAAGGTATCTAGAAGAAATTTAAGATATACCTATTTAAGTGCCTTGCGGGTATGATGCCCCGTGGCTAGGGTTAAAACGTACGTACGGGATCCAAGAACCAAACTTGAGTACCTACTCGTTTGGGGGTACCACCATATCCAACAGTGAACACTACGTTGTCGGTTTTTGGTTGACCTTAAGCGAAGGTCAGTTTAAGATTTGAAAACTCTTTTTAAAATATATCTTAAACTAGGCCTAGCTTAAGGATTAGGATATCTTGAACTAGAATCAGTTTAAGAATGGAATTGGCCTTAGACTAAGTATAGTTTAAGGATATTGTTGAATATTGAATATTGAATATGAATGTTGAATATTGAGATATTGAAATAAAAATATTAAGAATATCATGAATGAATTATATATTGTGTGCATGATATCAAATGGTTATTTGTGAATTGAGATTCAATTTATGTGGATGTTCGACGCTTTAGATATGCTTACTCAGCTTCATCGCTGAGCGTGTAGTATGTTTTATTTGCTACACGCAGGTAGGCGGAATGAATGATTGGCGTGTTCCTGGCAGCGGAAGGGGCGAGACTGTCGTGGTGGAATTTGTGATCGTAAATTCGGAAATGATCTCAAGTGTTGATTCGGAAATGATATCAAGTGTTGATTCAAGTCGCACTTTCGTACATGGTAAAAGACAAAAGAACAAACGAAATATATATGATTCGCTGGTACATTATCAATGTGCCCATCGCTTCGCGAAAATAATGAAAGGAAGGATTTACCTGCGCCGCAAGGCTGCATGGGAACGAGATGACCTAGAAGAGACGTTCAGCATAGACTCTGCCAATAGCGTATGTGGGTCGGGCAAGGAAGATCCATCCGTAGATTCGTCACGATCCAACCAATCGAACGCAAACGTTTAGAAATTATCTTGTAGTTCGTTTCAAATCCATTGATTGTATCGACTGTTGTAATCTTTTGCAATTACTGTCTTATACTCAACTACTGAATAAAAGAATCCTAATAAAGGAATTTCTGTTATTGTAGAATGAGTCAAGAATCTGCCCACGGACAAGGCAACAACAATGTACACGTCAGTGTTCATACTGAAGCATCTAGTTTCACCCCTCCCGTCCAAAATGAACCCGTCAATCAACAAAATGTTGGGAATAACCCGAATGCTAGAGGTCAACCCGACCTTGTGATTCCAGCTTTTCTGGCTAATGTGTTGCAACAAATAGCCAACGCGCCAATGTTTCAACCACCTCCACCACCGCCACCTCGAGTGATAACCTACAAAACGCTAAGAGATAACGGTGCAGAATTATTCCTTGGGGATCGCATCGGTGAACCCCAAATTGCGTGGGACTGGATCGAGCAAACTGCTCGAGTGTTGGAAGATCTCAATGTACTCATGGACATTTATCCCAGACTGGCTTCTCAATTTCTTCGAAAGGAAGCCTACGAGTGGTGGAAGAGGACTGATGAGAGTGCGGGAACCCCTAAGCCGTGGACATGGGCACATTTCGAATGGGCATTCAAGCAAGAATATATTCTGAAACGTTTTAGCGAGGAAAGACGTAAGGAATTTGTTGAACTAGAACAGGGAGACATGACACTCCCTGAATATCGTCAGAAGTTTACCAAACATGCAAAGTTTGCGCCAACCTTGGTGAGTACCCCATCCGATTGCATTGAGGAGTTCAGGAAGAAACTTCGACCTGACCTCAGGTCGCGAGTGTCCGTCCTAACCACTATGGATTTTGCGGAGGCCTATGATCTTATAAGGGCAGACAGCGACTTGAGTGCTTGCATTGAGTATTTGAAGACAAACAATACTAGCTCAAGCACTCACCGTCCCATCAACTCTGTCTCAAAAGGAAAAAGGCCCTTCCAGGAATCTAGTAGTTCACATTTCTCTAAAAAGGGAAAATCTGCACAAACTCAGTCACTAACATCCGGTAATAGAACCAAGGGGTGGAAAAATCCACAGTGCGACAAATGCGAAAGGCACCACCCTGGGGAATGTTGGCTTACACAAGGGTTATGTCTCGGTTGTGGAAAACCAGGACATTTCCGAAAGGAGTGCCCTACAAATCCTGGAGAACCGTTCCCACCTGCCCCCGTTGCTAGCCAGTCTGCATCAGCACAACCTGCACTAAGTCAACGGTCAACTGCGGGATCTAATCCTGCAAAAAGTCAAAACAAACAGCAAGGACGAGCTCCTGCCCGTACCTACGCAATGAAAGCTCGAGGTGAGGAAAACCCTGACGTCATTCAGGGTATGTTTTCCTTATTTGATACTGTCATGCATGTGTTGATAGACCCTGGATCAACGTTGTCTTATATTTGTGTACATATGCCTGAAAAAGCTGAGATAATGAAAGAACAATTGGAACAACCTATACTAGTGTCTAACCCGTTAGGACATAGTATGAGGTTAGATCATGTGTATCAAGACTGTCCATTGATTGTTGAAGGACATTAGTTCTCTGCCAATCTTTTCGAATTACCATACAAAGAATTTGACATCATCCTCGGAATGGATTGGCTCACCAAAAACCAAGCAATTATTGATTGCCGACGACGAACGATTCAACTAAAGTCTGGAGAGGGAAAGTCTATAGAGGTGAAAGAGAAGCTAACACCTAGATCCACTGAATTCATCTCGTACATACACGCTAGGCGTCTCATTCGAAAGAAATGTGAAGCTTATTTGTGTAACGTACGTGACACACGAAAGAAACTCCTGAGTTGAAAGACATACCGACAGTATGTGGTTTTCCTGACGTATTTCCCGACGAACTTCCTAGTATACCATCTTCTAAAGAAGTAGAATTTTCTATCGACCTTGTTCCTGGAACAGGACCAATATCTGCAACTCCCTATCGCATGGCTCCTGCTGAAATGAAAGAGTTGAAGGCTCAACTACAAGAAGTACTCGATAAAGGATTCATACGTCCGAGTGTCTCCCCTTGTGGAGCACCCGTCCTGTTTGTCAAAAACAAAGACGGCTCGATGAGATTCTACATCGATTACCGTCAATTGAACAAAGTCACAATCAAAAATCGATATCCTTTACCTCGTATTGATGACTTATTTGATCAGCTTAGAGGATCTACTGTATTCTCTATGATTGACTTACGGTCAGGATACCATCAAATCCCTGTAAAGAAAGAGGACATCCCAAAGACTGCATTCCGTACTCGTTATGGTCATTATGAGTTTACGGTAATGCCCTTTGGTTTGACCAATGCTCCAGCAGTATTCATGGATTTCATTAATAGTGTACTCCGACCTTATCTTGATCAATTCGTGGTTGTATTCATTGATGATATTCTTGTCTATTCGAAGAATCGAGAAGACCATGCGAAACATTTGGAGATAGTACTCAGCATACTACGGGAACATTAACTATATGCCAAACTGTCAAAGTGTGAATTTTGGCTTGATGAAGTTACGTTTTTGGGACATGTGATTTCTCTAGAAGGTGTTAAGGTAGACCCCAGTAAAATATCTGCCATCACCGAGTGGAAGGTTCCAAGGAATGTTCGTGAAGTGAGAAGCTTTCTTGGATTAGATGGATACTATCGACGATTCGTTGAAGGCTTTTCCTCGATCGCAACTCCACTTAACAAACTTCTAAGAAAAGATGTGAAATTTGTATGGACCGATGCATGTCAGCAAAGCTTTGAAAAACTAAAGAAATGTCTGATAGAAGCACCTGTGCTTACACAACCCGTACCAGGTGTAGACTACACGATCTTTAGTGACGCATCTCGTAATGGCTCGGGATGTGTACTCATGCAAGACGGAAAAGTCATGGCATACGCATCAAGGTAGTTGAAGCCTCACGAATGTAACTATCCTACTCACAATCTTGAGTTAGCAGCAGTCGTATTTGCTCTGAAGATATGGCGTCATTATCTTTTTGGAGAGACAACATATATTCACACAGACCACAAAAGTCTGAAATACCTGCTAACTCAAAAAGAGTTGAACTTGAGACAAAGAAGATGGTTGGAATTGATCAAAGACTACGACTGTTACATCGACTATCACCCTGGTAAGGCCAACGTGATTGCTGACGCACTAAGCCGAAAGATGATAGCCGAACTCCGAATCCAGCGTACTCTTGAGAACGAAATTCACGCTGCACAAAAATGTGACGACTACTGTTTGAAGACTTGTGAACTTGTCTCTAAGGGGAATTTTATTCTACAAGAATCATTTGGTAGTTCCTAGTGGCGAAGTGAGGGAACGTCTAATGCGTGAATCTCACGAAACCACTTATACCATGCATCCTGGTAGTAATAAAATGTTCCAAGATCTGAAGAAGACATATTGGTGGCCCACAATGAAGCGGGAAATTTCTGAATTTATAACACGATGTCTGATGTGTCAACAAGTCAAGGCTGAACACCAAGTACCAAGTGGATTGTTACATCCACCTACTATCCCTGAATGGAAGTGGGAACGAATTACGATGGACTTCGTGATCGGATTTCCATTATCATCCAAGAAGAATGACGTTGTCTGGGTAATCGTTGACCGATTAACCAAGTCATCTCATTTTATCCCAATTCGACGTGATATGTCTTTGAATAAATTGGCAGAATTGTACATCGTGAGATCGTAAGATTACATGGTGTACCTTTTTCTATCATTTTTTATCGTGACCCGCGATTCACGTCGCAATTCTGGAAGAGTTTGCAGAAAGCCTTAGGAACTAAACTTAACTTTAGTACGACATTTCATCCTCAAACTGACGGACAATCTGAAAGGACAATTCAAGTTCTGGAAGATATGATGAGGGCATGTGTAATAGATTTTGGAAGCAACTGGGAACAATACTTACCATTAGTGGAACTCGCTTATAACAATAGTTATCAAGCGAGTATCCAAATGGCCTCGTATGAAGCTCTGTATGGGAGACGTTGTAGATCGAACCCCAGTATGCTGGACAGAATTGAGCGATCAAAAGCTTGAAGGACCTTACCTTGTTCGAGAAACCGAAGAAAAGGTTTGTTTGATCAGAGAAAGGCTACAAGTGGCTTCTAACCGACAGAAATCTTATGCCGACTTGAAACGTCGCGAGATCGAACACAATGTTGATGACAAAGTGTTTCTGAAAGTCTCACCGTGGAAGAAAGTGCTACGTTTTGGTAGGAAGGGAAAACTAAGTCCGAGATATATTGGACCCTATCGAATCACTGAACGTGTGGGTCCAGTAGCCTATCGGTTAGAACTTCCACCAGAACTGAACAAAATCCATGACGTATTCCATGTGTCAATGTTGAAAAGATATCGTTCCAACCCATCACATATCATGACTAAAGGAATCGTAACTCTTGACGAACAATTAACTTATGAGGAGGAACCTGTACAAATTCTAGCACGAGAAGTCAAACAATTGAGAAACAAATCCGTATCTATAGTCAAAGTACTATGGAGGAATCACTCGACTGAAGAAGCAACATGGGAAACTGAAGGGTCAATGAGAACACAATATCCGAACCTCTTCAATCAATGACTCAGGTAATTTCGAGGACGAAATTATTTTAAGGGGGAGAGAAATGTAACGCCCCGAAACTAGGCCTATCAGAATTAATTAATTGATAAATAATTAATTACTGAGAAGGACCCAAAAATAAGTGATTTATAAATGTTGTCAATAAATAGTGAAAATTATATCATTATGTAGACTTTGACTGTCTGACCCCAACGGTTCAATCGGATTTCAATTTGGAGAAAGTTTGACAAAACAGTGTACCCCAATTGCGACCAAAATTAGTCCCAATCAGGGACTACACACAGAACGGCGCCCTGTTCAATTACGCTGATTCCAAATTTGTCGCTCAATGACGGAAGCTGCAAACCTGTGTCTTCTTCTTCTTCCCTGGGCTAATTAAAGACAACCCAACCTCTCATTTCATCACCAAAACAACTCATTCTTCTTTCTATATTGTTCCTTGCTGAGAGTAGAGTGCAGTGGTGCTGTCATCTTTGTGTGAGGTCGCCGGAGCAGTGAGATAGAGTCACCGGAAGTTTCGCCGGAAAATCTTCAAAACCTCCCTTACGCTTCAAGGTAAGCCCGTAGATATATTTAATGACTAGAATGTTCATATAGATCGTTTCTACGTTCATAAATGGTCATTTGGTTGAGTTTTGTGTTTGACATGTTTCAAGAACTAAGAATCATAAACCTTGAATTTGATGTTAAAAATATGTTTTAATAATTCTAATATGATCTATGAACCTTGGAGAACATCTCTATATAGTTTAATTGAAGTTCGGTCACTAAAAATGGTTTTCCCGAAAAATGGTCCGAGGTTGAAGACAAATGAATAGTGGCTGAAAATCCACAGAGTGGATCGATCATCTTCATTGGATCGATCCTCTGGGAGTTTTCTTCCAGTTCGATTGATCTAGAGGGCTGGATCGATCCTCCGAAACTCTGACCCGAAAATTTATCCAAAAATGCTATTTTTGAGCTCTAAAATCCTATTTTTGAAACCAATTGATTATGATTATTACAAAAATGATTTTTCATATTAAAAATGATTTTTTTAACAAATTAAAACATTATGTGATGCATGACGGTAAGTTCGGGTGTTAACACTCGAGACTAGGCCGCTATTTGTTATTAAACGTCTTGTTGAATGATCATTATGATGAATAAATGTTATGAATGATTATGAATGATAAACCTACTTATTAGAATGATTATTGATGACTTAATCATGATTAAAAATGGACATATTGATAATCATAACGAGAATGTATTGTTAAGGGTATCTAGAACAACTCTAAGATATACCCATAATGAAATTGATGTTGAAAGGTATCTAGAAGAAATCTAAGATATACCTATTTAAGTTAGGCCTTGCGGGTATGATGCCCGGTGGCTAGGGTTAAAACGTACGTACGGGATCCAAGAACCAAACTTGAGTACCTACTCGTTTGGGAGTACCACCCAATCCAACAGTTAACACTACGCTGTCGGTTTTTGGTTGACCTTAAGCGAATGTAAGTTTAAGATTTGAAAACTCTTTTTAAAATATATCTTAAACTAGGCCTAGCTTAAGGATTAGGATATCTTGAACTAGAATCAGTTTAAGAATGGAATTGGCCTTAGACTAAGTATAGTTTAAGGATATTGTTGAATATTGAATATTGAATATGAAGGTTGAATATTGAGATATTGAAATAAAAATATTAAGAATATCATGAATGAATTATATATTGTGTGCATGATATCAAATGGTTATTTGTGAATTGAGATTCAATTTATGTGGATGTTCGACGCTTTAGATATGCTTACTCAGCTTTATCGCTGAGCGTGTAGTATGTTTTATTTTCTACACGCAGGTAGGCAGAATGAATGATTGGCGTGTTCCTGGCAGCAGAAGGGGCGAGACTGTCGTGGTGGAATTTGTGATTTTAAAATAAATAATTGTGTTGTTATTAAACATGGTTTAAATTGCTTCCGCACTATTGTTAAACACTCCGTATTTTGCTACAGTTATGTATTAAATAATATTTATGATGAATAAAAGTATTTTGAAATGTTTTAAATTTTACGATTACCAAGTTAATACTTTAGTTCGAAAGGGGTTGCAGACTTGGACAGATTAGGATGTTACATTTACGTTTCTGCTCAACTTTTTCTTTATTTTCAGGTTCATCAATCTTTCCAAAACCTATTCCTTCTTTAGTGTATTGCATAGAATCAAAAACAAGATTAAGGTCCTTATGTGGTTTATTAAATTTCTTTACCGTGTTTTCTAGGTTAGCAACTTGTTCTTTCAAAGCTATGCAAGAGTCACAATTTTTCGTAGAGCTCTTGGGTTTGTCAGCGCTTCTTTTAGCATAAAATTTATTTTCCTCTTTTAGGTTGTCGTTTTCCTTTTTAAGTTTTTCAAGTTCACTTTCAAGATTAGAAAAAATTGAATGGAACAAACTTTGTTGACTGGAAACACAATCTCTCCATTGTTCTCCGCATGGATGAGAAAGAGTATGTGCTCGAAAATCCCATTCCTCCTGCCCCTCCCGCTAACGCCCCGAAAGCGGTTAAATATGCCTATGAGAAACATGTTAAGGATGACAACCAGGTTAGCTGTGTCATGCTGGCAACCATGACACCCAAGCTGCAAAAACAGCACGAGGACATGAAGGCCCTCGACATGATCGTGGCCTTGCGGCAGCTATACCAGGGGCAATCCAGGCATGAATGTTTTCTTGTGAGTAAGGATCTCTTTAGTTGCAAGCTCTCTGATCTTGAGGGAACCCGGTCGGTCCGAACGTTCTCCAAATGATTGGTTACATAACCAATCTAGAGAAACTCAGGTTCTCCTTGCAGAAAGAACTGGCAACAGACCTGATCCTGCAGTCGCTCCCTGAGCTGTATAAGGGTTTTGTCATGAACTACATGATGAATGATCTTGGCAAACCCCTTCCGGAGCTTCTTAAAATGCTCCAGATTGCAGAAGAGAACCTTACTAAGGGCAAGGGTGCTTCCGTCCTTATGGTCCAAGGCGGAAAGGGGAAGCCGAAGAAGGGGATCAAGATTAAGGTTAGGACGGTTGGAAAGCCTAAATCAAAGTCCACTTTATCTACAACCCAGAAACCTGTAGGAGGGATTGCAAAGGGCAAATGTCATCACTGTGGTAAGGGAGGCCACTAGAGGAGAAACTGCAAGACATACCTCGCAACCAAGAAGAAGGAAGGTACGACCATTTTTTCTGAGATGTATGTTATAGAAGTTAACATGTCTATATCTTCATCATGGGTACTAGATACTGGATGTGGGTCTCATATTTGTACTACCATGCAGGGACTGAAGTAGAGTAGACGGTTAGCTCGAGGCGAGATTGACCTCCGAGTCGGCAATGGTGCACCTGTTGCAGCTTTGGCAATCAGAAGTTATAGTTTAGTCTTGCCTAGTGGTTTAATGTTGCAATTAAACGATTGTTTGTACGTTCCCGCGATTAGCAGAAACATTATTTCTGTTTCATGTCACCCTCCCCAGATCCTACTCTTGTGGGATTTACCTGGGTTGTTGTTGTTGTTGTCTTGATAAAAGTGGTTTCATCATTTCTATTAAAGAAAAGTCCCTTTTCGTTTACATGCCAACATGACCAATGGATTATATGTCCTTGACTTTGACATGCCTGTCTATAACATATCAGCCAAGAGGAACAAACCGAACGGTTTGAACCAAACATACCTATGGCATTATAGGTTAGACCATATAAACGAGAAACGCATATCCAAGCTACATCGGTCGAGAATGCTGTAGTCATTTGATCTTGAATCATATGACACATGTGAATCTTGTTTATTGGGTAAGATGACCAAACCTGCTTTCACCGGACACGGTGAAAGAGCTGCTGATCTTCTGGCATTCATTCACAGTGATGTGTGCAGGCCTTTCAATACAACTACACGAGGAGGTTAATCATACTTCATCACATCTACTGATGATCTCAGTAGATATGGCTATGTGTATCTCATGAAACACAAGTTGGAATCCTTTGAAATGTTCAAAGAATTCAGGAATGAAGTTGAAAAACAACTTGGAAAAAGTATTAAAACACTACGATCCAATCGAGGTGGAGAATACTTAAGTGGTGAGTTCGATGACTATCTTAGAGAGCATGAGATTTTATCCCAACTCACACCTCCTAGGACTCCACAATGGAATGGTGTCTCTGAAAGGAGGAATCGAATCCTGCTTGACAGGGTCCATTCTATGATGGGTCATTCGACTCTACCAGAATCATTCTGGGGGTATGCGCTGAGCACTGCAATATATACTCTTAACCGAGTTCCAACCAAGGCGGTTGAAGGAACACCATACCAACTATGGATGGGCAAATGACTGGTTCTATCACACTTAAAGATTTGGGGCTGTGAGGCTTATGTCAAACGTCTTATGACGAATGGAAAGCTTGACGCCAAGTTTGATAAGTGTTTCTTCATGGGATACCCCAAGGAAACTCGAGGGTATTCATTCTATCACCCTATCGATAAGAAGGTATTCGTTGCTCGCAATGGTGTCGAATTTCTCACCAACGCAACTAGTGGGAGAAAGATAGAACTCGAAGAAATTCGAGACGACGAAGAAACTACCGCGCCGGTTCAAGAACATGAGCTAGAAGAACAAACCCTTGTACCTCAAAATACTCAAGATACGCAAGAACCCCGTAGGTCTAACCGATTACGCACACAACCTAAAAGGTATGGATTCATCCTAACATTTGAGGGTGACGTAATGCTTATCGACCAAGATGAGCTGGAGACCTACCTCGAGGCAATCAGTTGTCCCGAGGCTGAGGAATGGCATCAAGCCATGCAGTTCGAGAAGGATTACATGTACACCAACCAAGTATGGACTTTGGTTGATGCACCGGAAGGGATCAAACCCATTGGGTGCAAATGGGTCTTCAAAAAGAAGACTGACATGGATGGTAAGGTACAAACCTTCAAGGCACGATTGATAGCAAAAGGATATCGTCAAATACATGGTATCGACTATGACAAAACTTTTTCTCCAATTGTAATGATTAAATCCATTCGGATCTTACTTGCTATTGCAGCATACCACGATTACGAAATCTGCCAGATGGACTTCAAAACAGTTTTCCTTAACGGAAACCTCCTTCAGGATGTCTTTATGACACAAACTGAAGGGTTTTGTGCTCCTGAAGAATCTACCAAGGTATGCAAGTTGAAGCAATCAATCTACGGATTGAAGCAAGCCTCATGGGAGTCACGGAGTTGGAACATCCACTTTCACGAAACCGTCATCGGCTTTGGTTTTGAAAGAAATTCGGATGAATCTTGTGTATACAAGAAGGTCAATGGGAGTGCTGTAGTCTTCCTTGCTCTGTATGTTGATGACATACTACTCATAGGAAATGATATTCCTACTTTAACCACCGTCAAAACGTGGTTGAGTAAGAGTTTCTCTATGAAGGACTTGGGAGATGTCAGTTATGCACTTGGCATAAGAATCTATAGGGGTAGATCACAGAAGCTGTTAGGTTTCAGTTAAAGTACATACATATACAAGGTCCTCGCTAGATTCAGCATGTCTGAATCAAAACGAGGAAGTTTGCCTATGGTCCAAGGCATGAGTCTTTCCAAGACTCAGGGTGCTTCCACTCTAGAGAAAGTAGAACGTATGAGAAATGTTCCTTATGCATTGGCCATTGGATGCATCATGTATGCGATGGTATGTACGAGACCTGATGTCGCCTTTGCTCTGAGTGTCACGAGTAGATACCAGTCCAACCCCGACGAAAGCCATTGGACAGCTGTGAAGAAAATCCTTAAGTACTTTCGTTGGACTAAGGATGCCTTCCTGGTACATGGCGGAAAAGAAGAGCTCAGTATTGTCAGATAAACTAATGGCAGCTTCCAGACCGATAGAGACGACTTCAAGTCGCAGGCAGGGTATGTGTTTTGTTTTAATGGCGGAGCTGTTACCTGGAAGAGTTACAAGCAAGATCCTACTGCTGATTCCACTACAGAAGTAGAGTACATGGTTGCACCCGAGGCAGCCAAGGAAGGTGTGTGGCTCAAGAATTTTATTACTGAGCTTGGAGTGGTTCCTAGCATCAAGTACCCTATACTGTTGTTTTGCGACAACAATGGGGAAATGGCACAAGCGAAAGAACCTCGATCTCAGCAGAAGACCAAACACACCGTTAGACGTTATCACATCATACGAGAAATCGTTGCACGTCGGGACGTTGAGATTTGCAAAATAGGTACATACGACAATATCGCGGAATTACGCACCTCTAGAGGGGGGGTGAATAGAGGTGTTCTTCAAAAATCAAAACTTTTGGAAGATTAAACAAACAATTCGCAGGATTATGCCAACCACAAGAAGACAAAGAAGAAGAGAAGGAGCAACACACGAAGCAATCGTGCCCAGGCCTAAATACCTACATCCAGTTCCCGAAGCAATCGTGCCCAGGCCTTCACTAAGCTTTCAAACATAACGGAGTTTGACAATCCAAATACAACTCGAGAACTTGATTTCACAAGCCTCTTATCTTACCACCGAAGTTTTGATTTCACAAAACTCAGGATTTCTTCCACCTAACGTTTGATTTCACAAACCGTTATGATTTCTACCACTTGGTGTAATCCCAACACCAAGAATACAAATCCCTTACAATAAAGTAAGAAAACAAACCGCAACCGAGTAATTCTCCCAACACGGAGTAGATTGTTTCAAATACAATGAAGCCCTTTAGAATATGGCAATATCTCTCAAAGACTCAAGCAATGAGGAAAAACTCAAGCAAGAAATGATTTAGCAATCAAAACAATTGCCTTGCTTGGATATAAGGAGGGGTTTGAGTAGAATCTCTTTGGATATTCAAAGGATATGTTTTGAAGTGTTTTCAATGTATATTCTTGGCCAAAAACACGAGATAGGGTAGTTTATAGAAGTTAGGGAGTGGATAGAGATGAAAAGCATTCAAAAAACTAGCCGTTTGGTAGTTGAAACCGTCGAACTGTTCGACTAAGTCTTAGTTTTGGTGAAACTGCAATCTGACTTATTCAACTAGTTCTGGATTTATTCAACTAAGTCAGAATAGAAGTTCAGGGATCTATTCGAATAGTTTTCAACTTATTCGAATAGTTTGCTGAAAAAAATGTGTTTTAAAGGTAGGATGATAAGGGATTGAACCTTAGAGATGCCATACTCTTTAACACATAATCTATGACCTAAAACACTACCCAACTAAGGAAACAACCTCTTCGATCTCGTTCCTTCCACCGATGCTCAAGTCCCTTTTTCACAGACGGATATGAACTTGTTGTAGCTTTGATTCTTAGCCTTGATGCACAATATGATGATGATGGTTTGTCACCCTTTTGTCATTATCAAAACCTAAAAGACAATGGGCAAAGGACATTACAAAAATACATATTCATGATAGAACATTGTCCAACAGATCCTACCACTGATTCCACTACAGAAGTAGAGTACATGGTTGCACCTGAGGCAGCCAAAGAAGGTGTGTGGCTCAAGAATTTTATTACTGAGCTTGGAGTGGTTCCTAGCATCAAGTACCCTATACCGTTGTTTTGCGACAGCAATGGGGCAATGGCACAAGCGAAAGAACCTCGATCTCAGTAGAAGACCAAACACACCGTTAGACGTTATCACATCATACAAGAAATCGTTGCACGTGTGGACGTTGAGATTTGCAAAATAGGTACAGACGACAATATCGCAGATCCGTTGACGAAGGCCTTGGGAAAGCCTAAACACGAGAGTCATACGTGGTCAATGGGCATTCGAGAAATGCTTGATTGGCCTTAGGGCAATTGGGCGATTGTTGTATTTAGATGCCCTAGTGGCAATCAAATACCTATGTAACTGTACACTTTATCATGAATGAAAGGCCTTGAAGTGTGTTTTATATCTCGTGTAACATAACATAACTTCAGTCCATAGACGATAGTGCTTTAGTAACATAGATGAGAACTACGATGTTCGAATTATGATATTGTTACTTCTTGACGAGTGCTATGTTTAGAATATCCCTACTCGCACTTTATGATAATACGGACGTCATAACGTATCAAGACTAGTACGTACGAGATGAGATAGTTGCGTCTCATAGACTATAGGTATTGTGATATCTTAATCTGTACGTAGGTGCATATTATATCAATAATATGTGACTGGATTGACCCATCTTGAGAATACTGCATGGATCTATAGTAATGTGTTTATTGGTATTCTCAATTCGACCTTGCTATAACTATCCTCAGACTTGAAATACTGGTAGATGTACAATTATGCGTTCGGTATGCCGCTAAGCATATTTAGAGATGTGAATAAAAGATATAGGATCTGTCTCTTCTAGTGTATAAAAGTATAATGTCAATGGGCCCACTGAATAGTAGGACATGGGAAAGTGCATGGCCATGCCCGGATATGTCGCTATGAATAGGTCTCGAAGAGACGAAACCAACGATATATTTTATGAACAAATCTAATTTACGGATTTTGAGTTGTGACATTTTAAATATGTAATTTGCATAAAAAAATGAGTAGTTGTCAAAGATATGAGCTTTTGTAAAATGATATATTGAAATAAATTATTTAAATTGAATAATATTGATTGAATATGAGAGCACTTTTAATTGTATGTCAATTAATTCAATTTTGACTTTGTCAAAGTCAACAGCAAAAAATATAGTGTCATAAAAAGTATTCCAAAAAAATGTGAAAATTATATTGTTGCGTAGAGCTTGACTGTCTGAACGTAATGGTACAATCAAATTTCAATTCAGATAAAGTTGGACAAAAAATGTACCCTGATTGGGAACATTTTAGTCCCAATCAGGGACAGACGTGTGAAATCTCCAAATATCAGCCGCTTAGTCCACTACGAAGCATGGATTGGATAATTAGGCACCAAAACCATACAACTCTTTCTTCATTCTTGGCCTATTTAAGGGGGTTGCATCTTCTTCAAATCTCCATCATTCTCTCCCTTTTTTTTTCTATTCTACTCCTTGTTGTATGGAGAACAATCCGCAAGTGATCGCCGCTGTTAAAGTCACCGGAGGTAGCCACGGTTCTTGCCGGAAGTTGCTCCGGGAAGTTGAATGAAGAAAACATTTCCTGTGCAAATCAGCCCACTTGTGAGCACTTTTACACCCTCTAAACGTCATTATTTTAATCTGGTTTCTAAACGAAAGTTGTATCCTTATGTCTTACGAAACCATAGCTTCAAACGGTTCGCGATTGCGTTGAGTAACGAAAGAGATATCGCCCGAAAACCGGGGCTGGTACAGTGGTGATGGGAAGCAGCGAGTTTTATGATTTCCAACGTTGTTTTCGCTCGCGTTCGTTCATTGAGCTTCATATCGTCGATTTCCAGGTCTGTACCATGATTTTAAACAACTTTAGAAGGCATTGGAATGATCCTTGAACTTATTGATTCATATATATATATATATATATTTGAAAATATAAATATTTTGACATTCATAATGACCAAAGTTGTTTTGTTGTTAAAGCTTCAAATAAATTGTTTGTGAGTGATCTATGGATGTTGGAAAACATTTTTATGAAGTTAGTTTAAAGCTTAGAAGCTTTTATGGTGTTTTGAGAAATTGGAGCAAAGGTTGAAGATGATGAATATGAACTCCGTTTTTCCTGCAAATGATCGTTATGAATATTTTTTATCCGAAAATGCTATTTTTGAATATATAAAATCCTATCTTTTGATACATCAATGAAAAGACAATTTCTTTAAAAAAATGATGTTTGGACAACTAAAGAACCTTATATCATGTATGGCGATAAGCTATGTGTTAACACTCGATGTTAGGCCGCTATTTGTTATTGGATATTGTGATAATTATTATTGATGTTGTTTATTATCAGACTTTGATGAATATTCTTATTAAAATAATAATTATGAATGATTAAAAAAATGAATATATTGATGATTATGAAAATGATGTGTATAGTTAAGGATATCTAGAAGAACTCTAAGATATACCCACTTGGAAATTGATGATGATTATTAAGGATATCTAGAAGAACTCTAAGATATACCTCCTTGACCAATTCATGATTCGGGGTTAAAACGTACGTACGGGATCCAGACCGGATATCACCCACCCGACATATCAATGTTCGGTTGGTACGTAATCCACGTGACTCATAGGGTGGATTATTGATTCTTGTGTTCTGCATTAAACTATTTATAGTTTAAGGGTCTTGTTAGAAATATTGCCTTAGACTAGTCATAGTTTAAGAGCTATGTTATCAAAATTAATTTGACTTAGACTTAAAATAGTTTAAGAGCATTGATATAATTTAGCCTTAACTTAGAATAAGTTAGGAGCAAATTGTGATAAAATTTGATATGAAAATTATGTGTAATAAATGATGAATATTGTGATAAAAAAAGTGACATGTGATTATTGTGAATTATGGACTGATTAAGTGATGATAGTTAAGATTGACTATATTCATTATCATTGTTAAAATAACAAATATGGATTTAAATATGAAAAAGCGAATATTTGAACATATATATGTGATGAGTATTGTTTAAGAAATTATTCTGTGAATTCTTTTGTTGTGTCATGGTACCACTCAGCTTCATTGCTGAGCGTGTAGACTTTTTCATCTTTCTACACGTAGGTATGAGAGAGAATAAATATGGAGCCTATTTTGAAGATTACTGAGATGGAGGTAATGCGTGGACGTGCACAAATTTATTATTTAACTAAATGATTTTATCACATGGTGACCACACTGTTGTAATTTGCAAATCGCTTCTGTACTATTTTGAATAATTTTACTCTGATGTATTATGAAATATTTAGTACAATATTTGAAATAAAGTTTTTAAATGTTTGAAATTTTTACGTTGCCAAGTTAATACTTTAGTCCAAAAGGGGCTGCAGATCTGAACGGATTAGGGTGTTACATGAAATACAAGGTTGGGTTGGTGTGATGATTTCTATACACTCTAACAATTACAACTCTCTTATAAATAGTATGAGTGTATATATCTCGTTGGATCAAGCTCAATGTGTGTTCAAGAAAATATATTGAACAAATGACTCTTTAATAGCCTAATAAAAATCAGAGATTTTTATGAACACAAGAAGAAAGAATTAAGAGATTTGAGCAAAGCTTGATTGATCAAAAAACATTGAAATGGTTTGGGTATTTATAGGGATGGATTAGGAGTTGTTTGAAATTGAAAAATAGGTGTTAGAGAAGAATAATTAACTCCTAATACAATAATTAAGATAATACAACGTTGGGGGTGGAAAAGACAAGAAATAAGGAATCTGGTCTCCGAACGGTCCATCACATCAATCGTTTCACGCCAAACGGTCGACCGTTCGGGGTAACGTTCAGTTTCTCCAACGGTCAATAAGACGGTCGACCATTATGGAGCAACGGTTCACCACATCGACCGTTCGTCACCCTGTGCGCAATTTTTAAAATAAATTTGGTAAAATGTTAATAACTTTTTCAATACTAATCGGAATTGAGAAAATCAAGAACCGGCGATCTCGTATTGAGAAGAGCTATAACTTTCGTTAAATATTTTGAAAAATATGTTTTTCGAAAATATTTACCAAATGTATTTTAAAAATAAATACCCAAGTAAAAATCTTTTTTATGTGTGTGCAAAATTTAGCTTGAGCTTAGAGATATATCATTCAAATATATTTAACAATAAATGTCTCTAAGCTATTCTATGCTAGTCCTGTGTGAGCGAACGTATTGACGCAATCAACGCGTTTTAGTGGATTTTGTCGTTCCTACACAATTGAACAAACGTTAGCTTAATAAAATTATTTGTTAACATCAAAACATGAGATTAAGCATACCAAGGCTAACAATCTCCCCCTTTTTGATGTTGACAAATAATTTACTTCAAAGTGAGATTTAGGTAGGAGTGAAGGATTCATGTAAGCTCCACCTAAAACATAGCATTTTTGAAAAGTTCTCACTTTGTATTTTCCATGTGTTTATGAAGAATTGATGATCAACTAATATGTATAAAACACATAAAAACTTTAGAATTTGTTTTTTACTTTGAAGTACACATATTTCTCCCCCTATTTGTCAAAAGCAAAAAGGATTGATTGAAGTTTTTGATAAAAGTGTAAAGTTTCTTCAAAAGCCCTCCCCCCATCAAATAGATTCAAGTAAAAATAGAATGATGAATCTCATAAGATTAGTGGGGAGAAGTGCAAACAAGATCAACCAATTTTGAGAATATAGACAAAATCTTTCAAGAAAATTTATTTTTCTTCTAATTTTGATAACATTTTTACTCCCCCTTGGTAAAAGAATTCTATCAAAGTAGAGGTAAAACAAAATAAATCAAGCATATAAGGTATGTTATCAATAACATGTCTTTTTCAAGACTTGTGCCGTATTTTAGTTTTCCTCTTAGCATTCCAAGGCTAAGAATTTCCTTTGATTTCATGATTCTTGGATTTCATGCACTCTAGCAGTACCTGTTTATGACTTTGATACCAAATCTAAAAATATTCAAGAGAGTCAATAAAGGCAATTTCACATTAAGCACAATGTTATCAAATAGTACCAAAGTTTTAAATATCGAAACATTAACATATTGTGCAAAAATAAGACTAAATGAAATTCAATAATAGTAATAATCATCATTTGCCATGTTGTTAATGTCTTCATCATCATCATAACCATCAACGTTCACATGTGAGGAGGAGGGATTTCCATATTCAAACGTGGATGAGGGATTCATAGGAGGAAATGAGCTAATGCTATGACAATGTTCAGCAAGGCTTTCCCGAATCCCTTTTTGCAAATTCTCCTCGTTGATTGTTTCGGGGTCTTCCTCAACAATTTCCTCAATGATTGGTCCTTTGGATTTCTTCCTAGCTCTTTTCTTTTCCTCCAATGAAGAAGATGAGGATGACGAGGATTTAGGCCTACCAATCCATTTTCTCATTTTGTCAAAGATTTTCCTTGTCACGGACTTGGTTACCTTCTTTGTGATGCTTTCCTCCACTTGGGCTATCTTCTCATCCATGTACTTCTTCAATGAAGGATCGATTTTTGCGTGTGTAGAACGGGAGCGAGGCATGGAAGAAGCACGTGGAGGAACTTCAACTCTAGGACGGGGGTTTGAAGAGGAAGAGCTTGCGAATTTACTCAAGTTGTGCTCACGTCTCCATCGGTTTCTCTCTTCTACCGAGATTCGGTTGTAGGAAGCTTCGGTGTGAAATCCGTCAAAGTGTTGAAAGATCTTTGACCGTCGAAGACTTGTGGCATCCATCTTCTTGTACTCGTAGTTCCTTCCTTGGTATTTTTCAAGTTTGATTTTGGCCCTTCGGAACACTTTGGTCAACGTCATTCCGTAGGGAAGTTGTCCATAACCCTTGTGAATCCACATATGGTTCATCATCATCATAGGGAACCTAACGAGGGATTCCACTTCCAAGAGATAGAAAATGGCACACTCGAGCATACCAACAAATGAGTCGTTGCTTCCAGTAGGCAAAAGACATTCTTTTAAGATTTTCAAAAGAATTTGTTGATTAACATTCAAAAATTCTCTTTTAGGCCTAACAATTCCGTAATATTCAACTCCATTGTGTAGCTTATCAATACAACTAGCTAGAGTATCACCCTTGATGCCCCATCCATGTCTATCATACGTCTCAAATCCATCTCGGTTATCAACAATATCAAAACAATCACAAATTTCCTCAATTCCCAGTTTTATAGTTTTGTTCTTAACCCTAGATTTGAGAAAAGGAGTTTCTTCTTCATCTTCATTGACCTTAGTTTCCCAAGAGAGATTATCATAGAATTCATACACAAGCTCATCATACACCAATTCATCTATTGCAACAAATCCTAGAAACCCTTGAAGCGTAAGAATCGAGATAATGAATTTGGGGAAATCGGGTAGGTTTAGAATTTTACCCGGAGCAATTGTGCGCTTGTTGGTGTCCTTCTTGGGAGCCATGGGAGATGATGTTTTGAAGCTTGGATGCCTTGATTTCTTGAGAGATTGAGAGAGAGAGAGACGAAATTGAGAAGTTGGACGGTGGAGGCGACGTGATCCGCGGTCAGTGATTTAGAAGGATAAGGATTTTGACCTTTTAAATAGGCATCGACGGTCGAAGGTATGGACCGTTCCTTTTCCATGTTTAACCGTTTGTATGGCAGATTTCTGGATCCAAACACAACGGCGGATACTATGGACCGTTTCAGGTACCACGGTCGACCGTGGGTGTAACAGATTGGGGTCCAAATTTGATTGCTACAGACGGTCAATGTGTTGGACCGTTGCATTTTAGCAGTCGACCGTTTGTGTCCCAGCGCGAGGTCCATTTTTAGATGCTACAGACGGATCACTTGCTGAACCGTTGGCATACTGCAGTCGACCGTTCGGCAATAGCTATACTTTGTTTTCCTGTACGGGCGGTCTACAATCTGGACCGTTTGATATGGCGGTTGACCGTATTCCTTCCAGCGTCCTTTGATCTTTTAATTCCTCCAATCCTCTTATTGTGAACTTTTATGATGATGATGTGATATTGACAAACATGATTTTGAGTGTATTCATTAGATAAAGGAGACTTACCTTGGCTTATGCCGCTCTTTCTTCGGCTTTGAATGCGTTTCTTTGCTCTTCACATATTTTTTCCATTTGAGGAAATCCGTATACTTCATTCTCATTTTCTTCTCTTCATCTTCATCATCATTTGACTCTTCGGAAGAGCTTGAGTCATTTGAATCATCACTTGACTCTTCACTTGATGAGTCTTTTGAAGCTTTGAAGGCGTTGGTAATTTTGGGATTTTCTCGCATTTCTTCCTCTTTAATCTTTCTCAACAAAAGTTCGTGAGAATATAAGGAAGACCAAATGTGGGCGGTTTCGGCCTTATCACATTTGGGTAATAAATCCACTATACTACTATGCCATTCTTTAGGTAAAGAAAATAAAATTTTTGTATTAAGCTCGGAAGTAGTATACGTCTTACCCAACTTACTCAATTTGTTGACAATCTCATTGAACCTTTTGTTCATGTCTTGGATCGTATCGCTTGGTCCTTTCTTGAAAGATTCATATTCGGAGTTCCCAAGGGCAATCATCGTTTTCTTAGTTGAGATGTCGCCTCCATGAGTAGCTTGTAGCAAGTCCCATACTTCTTTGGCCGTTTTGCATGAACATACTCGTGCAAACTCATCGGGGCCGAGAGAGCAATGGAGAATATTAATTGCCTTTGCGTTCATGGATAGTTTCCTCTTGTCCTCAGAAGATAAACCTGCAAGGCTACCACTACTCGGCACAAATGGCCCGTGAAGTACATTTAACCATAAATCAAAATCAATGGATTATATAAAATATTCCATCCGCATTTTCCAATAAGAATAATTTTGTCCGTTGAAAAACGGAGGGCGGTGGATGCTTTGAGAATCCATTTGGGCCATAAATTTGAATTTTAAAAAAATTGGGAAAATAAAATTTTGAGATTAAAAATTCAAATTTAAAAAAGGACACAACAAGTAGATCTTTGTCGTAGATGCGGTTAAGCACTTTCAACTACGAAACCGCTCCGATACCAATTGTTAGTCGATTTATTCGTTGTGCTCACGCCTTAGAGGGGGGGTGAATAAGGCATTTGAAAATTTTTCGGAGTTTAACAAAAACGGTGTTGGCAAATGAGGAAGCAATATATAAAACGCAAAAATAAAAGCGTAAAGAAAATGAACACCGATTTTATACTGGTTCGGGAACTCCCTACTCCAGTACCTTAAGGCTCCTCCTCAAGGATTTTCAATCCACTAGAACGCCTTGACCGTCTCAACACGATCGTCACGACGGAACCAGTTTTTGGCAAACAAACCTTTGCCAATAGGTTTACACTAGATCGCCAATACTTCACGCCTTGAAGTATCCAACTAGTTTTTGAGGAATTTCCAACGGCTATCCCCAATCGTGCACCGAAGATTTGCAGGATTTCTTCAACCTAGAGATTTTGCAACGACTATCTCCAACGGTCTTAACAAGGATTTCACGGATGTCCTTGACCGCTTCCGGAGATTTCACCATGGCTATCTCCAACCGTTTAATGAAGATTTTACAACGGATATCTTCGACCGATTACAAGAGATATATAAGTTTGAATAATATGAATCAACACCACCTCAAGAATATGAAATACAAGGTTGGGTTGGTGTGATGTTTTTTATACACTCTAACAATTACAACTCTCTTATAGATAATATGAGTGTATATCTCTTTGCATCAAGCTCAATGTGTGTTCAAGAAAATATATTGAAGAAATGACTCTTTAATAGCCTAATAAAAATCAGAGATTTTTATGAACACAAGAAGAAAGAATTAAGAGATTTGAGCAAAGCTTGATTGATCAAAAAAACATTGAAATGGTTTGGGTATTTATAGGGATGGATTAGGAGTTGTTTGAAATTGAAAAATAGCTGTTAGAGAAGAATAATTAACTCCTAATACAATAATTAAGATAATCCAACCGTTGGGGGTGAAAAAGACAAGAAATAAGGAATCTGGTCTCCGAACGATCCATCACAACAACCGTTTCAGGCCAAACGGTTGACCGTTCGGGGTAACGTTCAGTTTCTCCAACGGTCAATAGGACGGTCGACATTTATGGAGCAACGGTTCACCACATCGACCGTTCGTCACCCTGTGCGCAATTTTTAAAATAAATTTGGTAAAATATTAATAACTTTTTCAATACTAATCGGAATTGAGAAAATCAAGAACCGGCGATCTTGTATTGAGAAGAGCTATAACTTTAGTTAAATATTTTGAAAAATATGTTTTTCGAAAATATTTACCAAATGTATTTTAAAAATAAATACCCAAGTAAAAATCTTTTTTATGTGTATGCAAAATTTAGCTTGAGCTTAGAGATATATCATTCAAATATCTTTAACAATAAATGACTCTAAGCTATTCTATCTTAGTCCTGTGTGAGCGAACGTATTGACGCAATCAACGCGTTTTAGTGGATTTTGTTGTTCCTACACAATTGAACAAACGTTAGCTTAATAAAATTATTTGTTAACATCAAAACATGAGATTAAGCATACCAAGGCTAACACTTTCACCTCTATAAGGTTACCATCATTGGTCTTTAGTTGAAGAATTCTTTGTCAAGAGTTGTGAACAGAACACCGTTTAGTCAGCCAATTCATACTAAGGATAACGTCAATTTCCTTGTATGGTATTTTCAATGAGGTTTTGCAAGGAATTGTCGATTAACGAATGATTTCAATTCACACAATATAATCGCATATTGTGTTGTAATGAATCTAGCATCAGAATGGAATACTCTAGATAACAGAGTTTGACTCATTCTAAACGTTCGTGTTTGAATTGGCGATCAGGTTATGTTGAGTCCAAATCAGGATCTTCAGCACTGGATGTTGGAGTTGTGCCCTGATGGCCAACTATTTATCGTTATTCTATCATGTATAGGCAGATATAATATGTTTACACATCTCATGCTAATGTAAACAAATATTATATTCCTAGATTTATATTTAAAAGATGTTTATCAGATAGTGTTTTTCTGCTGATGAGACTAACATCTTGAAATAAATATTTATCTAAATGTCCATAGTCGAGTATTAACGAGAGTGGGATATCGTTAATGCATGTGAGACTAGTGTGTGTTGGATGTTTGACTTAGTCTCATAGTCAATGACGGTGTGTTCGCATCCGCACATGGGCAGATATTATCTAGAGATAATAGGATGCCGGACTGACCCATCCTAAAGATGTTGCTTGAACTTTTAGTTCATGCTCTAAGCATCATTAGTGCGACCACGGGTGTAACTATCCTTCGACTTGAAGTATTACGTTTTCTGCATATGTGAACCCGCATACTTTGATGCATTGTCCTAAGCCATATGAAATAAGGATGGTATACAGGCTTTGTTTTGGGTATGCCGCAGCGCATATTCAGAAACGTAGATTACGTACATAGGATTTGTCACTACTCTTTTTAAAGAGATTAATGTCTTATGGGGCCCACTGATAAGTCATGACTGAGGAAACTGCATGGC